TTTTTTTTTTTTTTTTTTTTTTTTTTTTTTTTCCTGTGACTGGTAAGGGGATCGCAACCCTTGGTGTGGTGTCACCTGCACCACGCTCAGCCAGTGAGCGCACCGGCCCATCCCTATATAGGATTCAAACCCGCGGCCTCAGAGCTCCCAGCGAGTGATAGGCAATATTAAAAGATGTAACCTGAAACAACAAAATGTCAAAAAGTGGGGGAGAAATGACGTCAAAACAGAGTCGGCACTGTTTTTTTTCTTAGATATCAAATTTAAATTGTTGTTAGTTTTTTCTGTTATAACTATAAAATGTTTTTTGTAGGCCTCATGGTAACAATAACACAAAAGCTTCTAAGAGACATACCAAAAATAAATAGCAAGAAATAAAAATACACTGCTAGAGAAAACCACTTAACCGCAAAAGAATACAGTTAAGACAGGAAAAAAGGACCTACAAAACAACCAGAAAAAGAGTAACAAAATGGCAGTAACAAGCCCCTATATATCAATAATAAACATGTAAATGGATTAAATGCCCCACTTAAAAGACAGAGTAGCCCGATGGATTATAAAACAAGAACCAACAATATGCTGCCTAAAAAGAAATTCACTTCACCTATAAAGAACATATCAACCGAAAGTGAAGGGATGGAAAAATGTATTTCATGCAAACAGAAATCAAAAAAGAGCAGAAATAGCTATATTTATTTCAGATAAAACAGACTTCAAGCCAAGGAAAGTAAAAAGATAAAGGACATTATATAATGATGAATGGATCAATTCAACAAAAGGATATAATAATCCTAAATATGTATGCACCCAAAACCTGAGCACCCAAATATATAAAACAATATTGTTAGACCTAGCAGAGAGATAAGACTACAACACAATAATAGTTTGGGACCTTAATATTCGACTTTCAGCAAAGGACAGATCATCCATTCAGACAGAAAATTAACCAGGAAACCTCAGAATTAATCTCTACTAATATGGCCATTGGACCAAAAAGACATTTATAGAACATTTCATCCAACAGCTGCAGAATACGTACTTTTCTCAGCAGCACATGGAACATTTTCTAGAACAGACCATATGTTAGGTCACAAAACAAGTCTCAACAAATTCCAAAAAACTGAAATCATATCAACCATCTTGTCTGACCACAACAGAATAAAACCAGAAATCGACAAGAAAAGGGACATTGGAAACTGTACAAATACATGGAAATTAAACAACATGCTCCTACACAATGAATAGGTCAAAGAAATCAAAAAGGAAATTTTTAAATGACCACAGACAAATGAAAATGAAAACAAAATATAACATACCAGAACCTATGGGATACAGCAAAAACAGTTCTAAGAGGGAAGTTTAGAGCAATAAATGCCTACATCAAAAAAGAAGACATACGGGCCGGCCCGTGGCTCACTCGGTAGAGTGCGGTGCTGATAACACCAAGGCCGCGGGTTCGGATCCCATATAGGGATGGCCGGTTTGCTCACTGGCTGAGCGTGGTGCTGACAACACCAAGCCAAGGGTTGAGATCCCCTTACCGGTCATCTTTTAAAAAAAAAAAAAAAAAAAAAAAGAAGACATAAAATAATCTATTGTTACACCTCAAGGAACTAGAAAAACAAGAACAAACCAAATCCAAAATCAAGAGAATGAGAGAAATAACAAAGATCAGAGCAGAAATAAATGAATTAGAGATTAAAAAACAATACAAAAGATTGATGAAACAAAGAGTTGGTTTTTCAAAAAGATAAATGAAATTGATAAATCTTTAGCTAGACTAATGAAAAAAAAGAGGGCTCAATCAGAAATGAAAATGAAGGGCCGGCCCAGTGGCGCACTGGATACGTATAGCATACATTATACGAAGTTATACGAAACAAAAGGGAACAAAAGCAACAATCAGTAAGATAGGAAGAAAACTAGAAACATGTACTGACCTAGAAACCAAGAGAACCAAAGGTTTCTTGATATGGAGAAAAATCAGCTATGTCCAACGTTAGGAGGCTGAGTAAGAGAGGGACAAGAGGTGACCACTTGTATTGGTAACATGAAATCACTGGTGACCTAGACAGCTGCAGTTTCAGTGGAATGGTGGGGACAGAAACCTTTCTGGA